CCCAAAAATAAGTCTCAGGGACCATTCAGCCAATTTTGAAAATCCAGTACGGCGACCCGTCTCGGGTTGGCTGTTTTCGACCGAATTCAACCAAACTTGCATCAGTTCCTGCGAGAAAATACACTTATGACCCTCGATGGGACAAAAAAATGTAGGAAACCGAAACTCACTGGTGGTGGGGCTTTTCGGTGCGGCGGCTCCTCTGACTCACGTTGCGGTTGAGTGTTTTGCTTCGGTCAACCTGTAGAGAAAGAAACAGTGATCACAACGGTGAAAAAATTACATTTAACGGGAATCGAGAAGGGTCTCGTCGGAGACGTTTTTTGAAACACCCCGCGGTGGCGCTGTCGAGCTTCAACAGCATTTGTCAGCCAATTGGCCAGTTCTTTCACTCTGATTTAGTCATGTGTGGGTTCAAAATTGAATTTCGTGCAAGATGAAAATTTTTTACCTCGTTTGGCAATCGAAAATTGCTCCAGTGCGGCGGCGAGTGGCTGCAGTTGGCTCCCTGACAGCTGATTTATCTTCTCCGGTGAGGGGCTCTGGTAGCGAGGGTTAGGGTTTGGGTGCAGATGGGGTTATTTATACCCATCCGCTTTTGATCTGGGCCGTCCGTTGTTTTTAATCTAAACTTTCCGATCGCGATTAAATAAGAAGTGAATCTGGACTGTTCAGCGCGATTCAATCTGGACCGTCCATGCGCGATTTAATCTGGACCGTCCATACGCAATGCAATCTGGGCCGTCCGTGTGCGTTTTCAATTTGGGCCGTCCGTGCGTATGGGAACAGATCTCAACCGTTCGATCGTGCGCACGCGGATCACCCACGTGACCTCCCGCATCAGCGCCTCTGCCACCTGGCACGTTCTGGTTGGTCGGGGTTGATGACCGGGCATCTGACGTGAGATAACTTTTTTAAATTACGTTTTGACCTCTGGTTTCTGATTTTTCTTTCAAAAATACCTCAAGAACCCAAATTTTCACTCATTTTTCTCAAAATTATTTTCAATTAAATGTTTAACCAATTTTTTACCATTTTTATTATTATTTTTATTATTATTATTATTAAATTAAATTAAAATAAATTCAATTCAATTAATAAATAATTATATTTATATATAAAAAAAAGAAGATAAATGTTGGGTGTTACATGGGCCTTGGGTGATTATTACAAAATTATATTTAAAGTAATTACAAAAATTATACAAGTTTAAAAAAGAATAAGAATATTTTTAAATTTGTTATATTTTTATTATTTTCTATATTACTCTTTTCACAATTAGTAGGTGTATATATATATATATACATATTTGTATAAATAGAAGTTTTATTTATTTTCTTTATTAAAAAAACTTTGATATATATAAGTGACCTAAACTTTTCAATACTTTAGTAAAGTACTATTATTTCATTTCTGTTTTGCCCTTTTCTTTTCTTTTTCTGCTAACTTGAATTTTGTATGTTCTTTTTTTGTTTTTTTTCAATAAGATGTTTTCTTTATGCTCTAAACATCACATTAAAAATAATTTGGTGGGTAAATGGAATCATAATTTGTGTCCCATCATGGTATCCCACTAACCAAATGACTTAATTGAAATCACCACTTCAATGTTCAAACAAAATAATATATATATATACACACACACACACACACATATATTGTAATGTAAGTAAAGATTGAATGAATGTAGAATTTTGAATTGGGCCCTCCATGGTGGTCCTGAGGTTGATTTTTATTTATATGATTCCCTTTGAATAAATAAATAAATAAGAGAAGGGTAAAATGACAAAGGCATGAGAAGCGTTTCTGAGATTTGAATTGAATTTCAATTCAACCCATGAGATAAGCAAAGATAGCATGACATGGATGATGATTGATTTCTTCCTTCACCTTTTAATTAAACACAATTAATGTTATTTGAGACTTAGATGTTTGGTTATTAAATGATTGATTAACTTAAATTAATAAAAAAATAATATAATTAATTATTTATATTCTAACACACGGCTAAAATCATAAATCATATATAAGACTAACAAACTTTAACATTAAATTAATTATTTTTTTAATAAAAATAAAATTATCAAAATTCAAACACTAAACTTCTAATTCTAATGCTATTTTAAATAATTAATTGAATTAATTATTTTAAAAATTTAAATTCATAGTTTGATAAAAAAATATATAATCAATTATTTATATTATAACAATAATATATTTTTATTATTTAATTTTTTTTTATATTTTAAACTTTATCGTATATTCTTGTTATTAATTCATAAATGACATTTTTTAAAAAAAAATTAATGAACTCAATCTAATATTTTGA